TTTCATACATTCTTATCAAAAACGTTCATTGCTGTCATGTAAGGTTATTCATCAATAGTAAATATGACCTTATCTATTGTGGATTCAGGCTTCTTCAGAAGCAAATGGCTATACTGCTGGGAAGACATCAGATCTTTTTGGATTTTGAAAATATGGCTAACGGCGAGCAACTTGGTGAACTGAATTCAAATGCTCATCTCTATGAATACTTCCATTCTCTTGCTCGAGAACTGGATATCATGGAACCTAAAACTCCTGAAGGCATCTACAAGAGCCACCTGGAACATAGTCGTAAGCTTCTTTTTGCTACGACTCGTGGTGAAGTTTGATTACTGTGTTTTGTAGGACCATTCGGAAACACTGCAGCGCCGGATTCAGCACGCATGAACCTTGCTGCTGCATTCGTTAATGGATTCGTCAATTGTGGATTTGGAGTAGACAAAATGATGGCTGAAAGCGAAGATGCCAGCAAATGGTTCTACAAAAACAAAGAATATGGTGCGTTGTAGTATTTTGCATTCAATGCAAATGATGAACTCGATAACTAGGTATGCTATCCGCTGCTGCGTCGCAAGGTCTTGTTTGGAGATGGGACATTGACTCTGGACTTGGACAGTGCGACAAATTCTTATACGTCAATGACGACTTCATCAAGGTAGGAATCTTTTGCGACTTTAGGAGTTTCTGTAAAAGTATCATTTTTAGGCAGGTACTCTCTTAGCAATCGGGATAATCTCTTCCGGGATTCAAGATGCCTGTGATCCAGCATCTGCATTACTTATCGATCATATCCACTCGGAAAGGTATTCTACTTTCTTTTCCGAAGGCATGCGGCGAATTCTGTGTTCAGAGCAGTAATTCGGGTTGGATCTGTACTTGGCTTGGGCCTTGCTTACGCTAATTCAAAAAGGGAAACTGTGGTTAAGAGCGAAGAAGGAGGCGTAATATTTGAGCTAAAGAAGGTACTCTGCTTTTTCTTCAATCTTTTTAGACAACTCTTGCTATTTCTCACGTTCGCACTTGGCTCATGTTTAGATTTCGACTTTTGGTTCCAGGTGCTTACTGATACAAAACCGTCAGCGACGAGCGAAGTGAAAGGTCTAACAGGCTTAGCTCTTGGTTTGATCATGGTTGGGACTGCCGACCATACTGTAGCAATGGAGATGTTGCAAACCTTAATGGAGCGTAGCGAATCAGAGCTTAGCGATCCTAACATGCGATTCTTAGCTCTAGGAATAGCTTTGATTTTCCTTGGTAAGTGCTTGTTTTTGCTCTTGTCGTGTTGATTCCTTTCACATACTAATGAAGCATTCCATCTCATCTTTCAACATTCAGGTACACAAGAGAAAAGTGAGGTATTTGTGGAATCTTTGAGATCTTTGCCCGAACCTTTCGGCCCTATGGTTTGTTTAGAAGCTTCAGAAGTAACCGCATAAATGCGTAATATTTGTTGTGATTGCAGGTTTCCACACTCGTTGATGTTTGCGCATATGCTGGGACCGGTAATGTGCTCAAAATACAGAAGCTTCTGCATATGTGCTCGGAACACTATGAAACTGAGGACAAGAAGAAGAAGGTAAGATTGATGGATGTCTTTCTACTACTATCTTCCTCTTTTTACGAATGACTTTGATTTGCAGAAAGATGAAAAGTCCAAGAAGGATCCCAAAGAAAAAGATAAAGACGCTAAGGTCGATTTGTCATCTCAGCAAGCGGTTGCTGTCATTGGAATAGGTCTTATTGCTATGGGTGAAGATGTTGGATCTCAGGTATGGTCACCGTTTTCTATGTCGAACATCGTACAATCTCTCGGTCTACTAATTTCCATTCTAACATTTTCAGATGGCTCTAAGGATGTTTGGACATCTAATCAGATATGGTGAGCCAGTAATCCGACGAGCCGTGCCTCTGGCGTTGGCCTTGATATCAGTGTCTAATCCTCAACTCAATATTCTGGAAACATTGAGCAAATTTTCGCACGATGCCGATGCTGATACTGCTCATAACGCCATATTTGCCATGGGATTGGTAAGAGTGTTGTTATTTTTTCTCTTTCTTCTTCATTAATTAGTTTTCTTTCTCAATTCCTTTTATGTAGGTTGGTGCCGGTACAAATAACGCACGATTAGTAGCAATGCTGAGGTCATTAGCGAGCTATCATCATAAGGACCAGGTAGGTGACTGGAAAGGATAGGATGACCTTTTTCAGTGAATGCTCGACTCAGCGTGTGTTTTCAGGTCTCACTGATGTTAGTACGGCTTTCACAGGGGCTTACCCATCTGGGTAAAGGCACAATGACCCTGAATCCGTGGCATTCTGATCGTCAGCTACT